ATTTAGTGATAAACCCCTTTCTTAAGTTTTCCGTGATATATTCCTCTAGTACCTTATTCTCGGCTACCGAGAGGGGATAAACTGTGCCTCTAGGGGGCATAGTGCCGGGTAATAAGTCAATGGGACAGTCATAGGACCGGTGTGGAGGTAATTTTTTTGCTTCTCTTGGTTCAAAAACTGCTTTTAAATCCCAATATTGTCTGGGTATCAGAGTGGTTAAAGGTTCCATAGTAGGTACATTAAGTAGACCTACGTGTTTAATAGGGGTAATACATTTTCTGCGGCAAGTCTCACTCCATTTTACAATTTCCTTTTTCTCCCAATCTATAGAAGGGTTATGTTTAGAGAGCCAAGGAAAGCCAAGAATAACCGGGAAGATGGGAGAAGTGACTTGTTGCAGGATAATAACCTCCTTATGCAAGGAACCTACAGACAATACCACTGGAAGAGTCTCTTGTGTGATAAACGGGATAGATAATGGTCTACCATCTATGGCCTCAACCGCCAAGGGTGTTGATCTATTCTGAAATGGGAAAGCATGTTCCTGACCGAATCTATGATCAATAAAATTTTTGGCCGCCCCAGAGTCTATTAAGGCAATGGTTGGCACTTTTTTTCTTTTCCCACTCAATAACAATAGGTAGAAGAAGCCTATGATCTTTTTTATCATTAAAGGAGGACATACACATTACACCCAAGGCCTGTCCTCCATGAGGGCTTAGGTGAGGGAGTTTTCCGGCCAGTTAGGACAGGTTGAACGAGAATGTCCCTTTCGGCCACAATATAGGCATAGTCCCTCCCTACGGCGGTATTGTCTTTCATCCTCAGACAAACGCGTGACTCCCAGTTGCATTGGTTCTGCAGGAGCGACTGTTGTTGTCTCGGATGAAGGATAGGTTAACGCTAAGCGTTCTGGCACCCGTCGAGGTCTGTCTCTAGTATTCTGCCTGTGTCTAAGACGCTCATCAATGTGGGAAAGGTATGTGATCAATTCCTCTAGCACATTGGGTAGGTCTCTAGTGGCAACTTTATCTAGGAGTTTATCTGAAAGCCCGTTCATGAATACGTCAATAAACGCTTGTTCATTCCATCTAACTTCGGCCGCATGGGTACGGAATTCTAAAGTGTAATCAACAAGAGAACGAGAACCCTGTCTCATACGTAGCAAGGTTTTGGCAGCATTAGTTCTCCTCCCTGGAGGATCAAAAGCCCTCCTAAAAGCTGCGACAAATTCTACATAGTTAAACACTACCGGGTTATTGTTCTCCCACAGAGGATTTGCCCAAGTCAATGCCCTATCGACCAATAAAGTAATGATGTAACCTATCTTTGCCCTATCTTTAGGGTATGCTCTCGGATGAAGCTCAAAATAAATACTAACTTGATTCAAAAAACCTCGGCAGCCTTTAGGATCACCCCCGTAACGGAGAGGGGAGGTAGCATGATTAGGAGTACCCATAGTAACCATTTCCATGGGTTGTTCCTGAGGTCTGAGTACTGGGGTTTGCTCCTCCGGTTGGAGATGGGCAGTACGAGCAAGCAAGGTTTGTACCGCAATAGCGAACTGGTCCATGCGATGGTCCAGTTCTTCAAACCGGTCATCAGGTGCCGGTCCGAGAGGGTTAACACCTGCAGGGTCCATGGCCCTAGTGTAATGCCATGACAGTGACCAAAGTCACAACAGTGACCCCTTCACACAGCGTGAAACCCACAGAAAGACGGTTACCGGACCTTAGAATGGCCGGACTAGCGTCTGAGAATAGTCAAGAGAAATAGCCAGAGGTCAAGGGAATACGGAAGACGGGCACACGATTATCCAAGCCAAGATACGGGAAACCAGAACACAGAATAGTCAGAGAGAGATAGCCAAGGGTCAAATACCAGGAAGTACAATAAGAAAAGATAGCACCAGGGGACTTAAACAAGAACCACACTAGGGCATCTGACAAGTGTCATGATAGCCCTTTTATAGTGTGGGTTCTTTGGCTTTAATTCCGTAGCCACGCCCCCAAAAAGTCCGGGAGCGTGGCCACATTTGAATTTTGGCGCCATTTTCGGTCTGACGTCGGCGCGCATAAATGTGGGCGTGTTCCGAGCGGCCGGCGTCAGAATAGCTGAGCCGCCCCCCGGAAGGATCGGAGGAGGACCCGGCGCTGCGCGGGACCGGCGGGGAAAGGTAAGCGCTTGTTACAGTGACGGCAGATAAGAACCATTCGGCCATCTAGTCTGCCCAATTTTCTAAATACTTTCATTAGTCCCTAGTCTTATCTTATAGTTAGGCTAGCCTTATGCCTATCCCACGCATGCTTAAACTCCTTTACTGTGTTAACCTCTACCACTTCAGCTGGAAGGCTATTCCATGCATCCACTACCCTCTCAGTAAAGTAATACTTCCTGATATTATTTTTAAACCTTTGTCCCTCTAATTTAAGACTATGTCCTCTTGTTGTGGTAGTTTTTCTTCTTTTAAATATAGTCTCCTCCTTTACTGTGTTGATTCCCTTTATATATTTAAATGTTTCTATCATATCCCCCCTGTCTCGTCTTTCCTCCAAGCTATACATGTTAAGATCCTTTAACCTTTCCTGGTAAGTTTTATCCCGCAATCCATGAACCAGTTTAGTAGCCCTTCTCTGAACCCTCTCTAAGGTATCAATATCCTTCTGAAGATACGGTCTCCAGTACTGTGTACAATACTCCAAGTGAGGTCTCAGCAGTGTTCTGTACAATGGCATGAGCACTTCCCTCTTTCTACAGCTACCTCTCCCTATACAACCAAGCATTCTGCTAGCATTTCCTGCTGCTCTATTACATTGTCTGCCTACCTACATAACCCTTACACTCACACATACATACATACTTTAAAAACAAGCACACTCTTAAAGAAACACAGTGCTGGACATCCATAAACATATGATTGGAGGCTGCTTGTAGTGTTGCATGTGTGGGGAGAGGCTGCTTGTGGTGTTGTATTTTGTGTGGACGCTGTTTGTGGGGTTGTGTGTGTGTGGCTTCTTGTGTTGTTGATTGGTGTTTCTGGGGATGCTGCGTGTGTCGTTGTGTGTCTTAGTCACACTCTTATGAATGCACACATACAAATTAATTTACACAGATACATAAAGACACAAAAAATATAAAAATACAGACACAGTCATATATTCATATACTTGTAAAGACACACACATAAATTCAAACATACACTCACGGATAGACATTAATGGTTATAAGTGCATAACAAATACACACACACACACACATAAAGGAATACACTCATTGATGCAAATTCAGAGTCATACTGACAGATACATAAGTGGAATACAGTGAGAGTGAAATTCGTACTTTACAATAGGAAATAAATGTAGCTCAAAACCTCATAATAGCACCGCCTAGCTGAGAATTGAACATCATTGAGAGTGCCGGGATGTGATGCCTCCCCACCGAATCAAAATACACATCTCTGCCACCAGAGTCACATGCAGAGAGAGGAAGCAAACTTCTTTTTTAGCACCTATGTGAGATGTGGTTGTAGATAATGCAGGGCTACTGAGTTCATGGTTCCATGAAATTATTACATCTCTCTTAGCACAGCAACGTTTATACTCTACTGGCACAGGTTCAATTCATTTTAAGGCAGAGCAGAAGATGCCAGCCAGAGATCCCCTCTGCTTCCTTGCCCCATGTTTCTCCCCCATTTCCCCCCTCTGTAATATGCCAACCTCCTGTAAAGAAAAGGATAACAGTTCCCTACATGCGAACCTGGTGACACTGTGTTGCTTCCAGTTCCTTCTGGGGAGGACTAAATGATGGACAGCCACTGTCTCACAATTTGTAAGTAGTCTCAAGTCTGGAACCCCTTTACAATTTGTGAGGCGGTGGCCGGCTATTAATTGTTGGAGGACCGGCAGCCAGAAGTCTCTACCTCTTCTGCAAGCACAGAGGCAGGCTAGCGTGCAGTTCCCATCATCTCCTTACACTGCACCTTGAAACCAAACCGAGTTAGGGCCTGTGATCCACAGCCTGAGAATCGGCTGACTGATGAGGAAGAACTTTGATTGTCCACAGGTCATGTCATCCCTTCTCCTGCTTTCCGCCCTGAGGCCTTGGCCTTGATGTCAATAATCATTAGTATATATTTCTTAAAATCTCTTCATTCAGATACATTCCTTCACATTATAATTGAATATTAATGAATATAAGCCTGGCATAAAAGGAATGGTGTGTTGGGGAAGAAACACCGCAGCAATTTGGCTCTTTCATTCATTTATTTTGCTTAAATACAGCTTCCAACTTACATTGTCGTCAGATCTCAGACAATTGTGCCTATAATTTCTCATCACAGATCGAAAAAAAAATGATGTCTTAGCGGCAGATATTTCTTTTTTTTACATGCTTGAAGGTTAGTTAATTTAAGGTATCTTTTTTTTTTTTTTGTTCTTTTGCTTATAAGGTATTAAAATTGGTAGAGCAAAAAAGCTCCAGAAATATTTCAAACTCAGTTACTTCAGTCTAAAACTGGCAATTACTTTGTCAATCCTCAAAATTTTCAATTTAGTGAATAAAACCTTTTGTAGTTCAATGGACAATCATGTTTACTAGAACTCATTCATGCGTGGGTTGGGTGTATGTTCTGTACACTTTTTACTGTTAACTTTATATTGTTTGACTTTTCCTCATTTTTCACCAAGTTATTCAGAGGTACATTTACAAAGTGATATCTTGCAGTTTACCATGGCACATAATTAAGATTTCCATAGCTTTTCTAACAAGTCACCTAATGGCTTCTTAAACCACAAAAGTAATAAAGTTTAACTCAAGGTGCCCGTTCATTTATTGAAAGCTGCAATATGTTGGGATGTCTGAGGTTTTCATGTTGCTGCAGTGTCTAATGACGTGAAACAAATGTTCATTTGCTGTTAACACCCTGTAAACCCAGCACTTGCTGCTGCCCATAATCAGTTGGTCACGCAGAAAAACTCCCTAATGAATTCAGTAGTCAGAGTCGAGCACTTCAAAAGCACAAGAGACCAACTTGCCAGCTGTGAGATCATATCTAAACACGATTTTCACACCCATAATGAGGTTGAAAACAGTTCGCTATATTTTCCTGAACCCAATCACTGGGATGGTTTATTTTGCATTTCCTCAGGTAACACAATATAAATATATCATTTTTATTTTTATTTATTTATTTTTTCTTCCTAGCCTCGAGATATATTATTTTAAGCAATTTTATTCCAATGTGTTGGCAACGGATTTATTTTTAATTGCATTTAATCCTTTTTATGTTTTTTTTTTCCATTTAAAATAGAATGCCTATTCCTAAATCATTTTCTAAGTGTGTGAAATATATACAATTTTACATTAAATGTTTTTTCCACTGACATTGTGACTTAGAATTTTGCTGCTTCATTCCTATATCTCTGCGTGTCACATCTACTATTGGACAGTGCATCGTGGAAGGCAGAAATGGAGCAATCTACAAATTCAAAAGAATGGGATTGAGAAAGTTCATCTAAAAGCACTAACTGTTAAAGTAGGGACATTACCACTGACTTGAACTAACTGATAACAGCCTAATGTCTGTAGAAATAGCTCTGAGTAACAGCAAAGTGCTCCCTGTATTCATCACTGAATAGACTTCAGAAAGGAACAAAAGAACGTTACTTCTGCATCCTTTCTCTATTCACAGAAACAAATATATTGGTATTCTCATTAAATGGCAAAGGAGTGTGCACCTTCGATTTGTCCAGCTCAACTCTGTGGCAGTCAACGTGTTAAATCCCTTTTGCAACATGTTGCTTTATAGTAAAATATTTGTGCAAGTTTTCAGAACTATTGATCAAAAGTTATTTGGAAACTGCCAATCCGCCTTTGTATTGATCCATTTTACTTTATTCTGTTCCTCATATGGCTTTTAGGTATTGCAGCATTTGTTTTGTGTCCTCAGAAATGAAATACTTCAAATTAGTTTCTCTTAGACACAGACAGCAACAGCCAGGTACAAGTAGGAGACAATTTTTGAAATTGAAACAGTTTTGCAGTAGGATAGTTACATTAACTTAGATTTGAGCTTGAAGTGGATCTGTCAGATCTGAGTTTTGTTGCAGAAAATGACACCTTTGGTAAAGTTTAAAAAAACAAAAAAGAATTTGCACCCTTTTGATTTAAAGGATCACTATAGTGTCAGGAAAACAAAGCGGTTTTCCTGACACTATAGTGCCCTGAGGATGCCCCCACCCTTAGGGTCCCCCTCCCGTGGCGCTGAAGGGGTTTAAACGTCGCGGATGCGCCTCTAGTGGCTGTCCGGAAGACAGCAACTAGAGGCTGGATTAACCCCAAATGTAAACATAGAAGTTTCTCTGAAGGGTTAAAACCTGAGGGACCTGGCACCCAGACCACTTCATTGAGCTGAAGTGGTCTGGGTGACTATAGTGTCCCTTTAATTTATACAGTTTGAGTGGCTGACCTGGCACAGCCAGATCACCTCACGCAGATTAAATTAACCCTCATGATGATGCAATTATTTATTTATTTATTACTGGTATTTATAAAGCGCCAACAGATTCCGCAGTGCTGTACAATAAGTGAAGGACGTACAATATACACAGACAAATACAAAAGGCAGAGAGGGCCCTGCCAATAAGCTGATATCTAGCCATTGAAGCTTTTTTAAAACAAAGTGCTTAGCTAGATTGCCCGTGAGCTTACAATCTAAAGGTAAAATAGGGAAATGAGACAAGTGGTAGCAGAGGAAATTGAAAGTGATGGCAAGGAGAATTTATAGTGTGACTGCAGTGATTGATAACATGTGAAGGGAATGAGGATGTGATCGACTGTGGTTGGAGGAGTCATGCTATATAGTCATGCTATATAGTTAGAAGAAACCATGGTGGGCCTGAGGTGGGGCGGTTGGGTTGCTAGGGCAGAGTAGAAATGAAGATTCTTAGTTGCAAAGATGGGAGTTAAATTGGGCCTGAGAAAGAAGAAGGATGCACAGTTATTTAAAGGAATTTACAGCTAGGAGTGGCAAGCAGGAGGGAGGGGGGCAGGGCCGTCTTTAACATTAAATGGACCCTGGGCAAGCATTTGCTTAGGCCCCTGGATCCTGCCTCCCCCTCACACTTGCACCCCCTGACATGCGATCATGCCCTCCACCCCAACACAGTGGCAGGACGAATGTAGAGACAGCTCTGGTGCAAGACATTTTTTGGGCCTCCCCTCTAGCTCAAGAGTGGAGAAAAGATAGATTCTCATCTGTCGTACAGCACCCACAATGCCATGCCAGCTGGGAATCTACAATTTGGACATTCTAGCAGGGCTGTATTTGATGGCAGTGTTTGTGCATTTGAATGTGAGCATGTTTTTGTATAGAGTATGTGTGTGCATGTAGCGTGTAGTATTGGTGTTTGATTGAAGGGGTGTATTTATATATACTTTTTGAATTTGAATTCAGGGGTGTGTTTGCATGTAATGTTTGTGTTTGCATGTTGTGTTTGATTGCTGGGATATATGCATATGCATTCTATACATTCAGAGATATTCATACACATTAGCACGCAGAAACACACAAACACATGAACACACATGGACACATGCACACACTGACACAAACACACAAGCTCATACACTAGGAAACACACAGATACAGTCACACACAAACACACACTCAGATACACACACTTTGATACACACACTCAGATACACACAGACACATGGGTACACATACACAGAGGTACACATGCAGGGGTGTATTTGTGTGCGATGTTGGCGTAGGCATGCTGGTATGTATGCATTGCCACATAAACAGATGCACACTTACACAAACACTGAGATACACACAGGATCACAGATACACATGCAGTGGTGTATTTGAGGGCAATGTTAACGTTGGAATGTAGTAGTGTTTTTGTGTGCAGTGTTGGCACTGGAATGATGGTGAGATGTATGCATTGCTATATGCATAGATACACACTTACACACACTGAAACATATACACACACAGGTACACATACACAGACATGCAGGTACACATACAAATTGACACATAAGTACACATATACAGACACAGGTATACATACACACTGACACACAGGTGCACATGCACTGTCAAAAACACAGCCAGATACACACATACCATCAGATACATACACTGACACACATACAGTCAGATACATACACTGACACAAACACAGCCAGATACACACACTGACACACACAGCCAGATACACACACACACAGATAGATAAACACACTGACAAAAAAAAACAGCCAGGTGCACACTCATAGTCAGACACATACACAGCCAGATACACACACACACACACACACACACACACACAGATACACACACTGACAAAAACAAAGCCAGATACACACACTGACACAGACCCAGATACACAACATATAGCTATCAATTTACACAGTTTAGCCATCCTCCTTTCTCCTTACCTTTACAGAAGGGTGGCTTTCCAGATACACAAACAGCCAGAAACACACATACAGTCAGATACACACACTGACAAAAACACAGTCAGATACACACACTGACACACACACACAGCCAGATAAACACACTGACAAAAATACAGCCAGGTACACACTCATAGTCAGATACATACACAGCCAGATACACACACACAGATACACACACTGACAAAAAAACAGCCAGATACACACACTGATACAGACTCAGGTACACATCATATAGCTATCAATTTACATAGTTTAGCCACCCTCCTTTCTCCTTACCATTACAGAAGGGTGGCTTCCCTGGGGTCCAGTTGGAGATGGATGGCTGAGGTTGATGGTAATCTGAGGAACCTGCTATCTCAGTCCCTCTCATTCTCCTTGGTGTGTGCCTCCTCCTCCTTTTCTTCCTCCATTTGTGCCTCCTCCTCCCCAGCAGCACTCTGTTACTTTTGAGGAAGTGGTCTGACACCACTTCCTCCCAGCAGGCAGAAAGACAAGGCCAGGTCTGGAGCACACTTGAAGGGCCAGGGGCCCCTGATTACATCACCTGCTGCAGCCCACCGGGAAATTTCTCAGGATCCCAGTGGGCTGTCAGGTCTTGGTTGCAGGCAGGGGGCCCCCCAGGAGTAATTGGGCCCGGGGCAGCTGCCCAGTTTGCCCCTTGTTAAAGACGGCCCTGGAGGGGGGTAAGGATGGAGTTGTATAAATATAATAATAATAATAATAATAATAATAATAGCATCTTACAATACAAGTGTAACCCACCTATTCCTCCATTTCCTGTTACAAATAAGCATTTTAAGCAGCCCAGTTGCAGTGCTCTTCTATCAGAGAAACCTTCCACAAATGTTCCACAATCCCGCAAGTAAGGAGTAAGGAGGAAGAAGTGGTGGAACAGACTAGCTATTTGTTGCACATATTAAAATGCACATATTAAAATGTGTGCCTATTAAAATAATAATAGCATCTTACAATACAAATGTAACCCACCCATTTCTCCATTTCCTGTTACAAGTAAGCATTTTAAGCAGCCCAGTTGCAGTGCTCTTCTATCAGAGAAACCTTCCACAAATGTTCCACAATCCCGCAAGTAAGGAGGATGGAGTGGTGGAACAGACTAGCTATTTGTTGCACATATTAAAATGTGTGCCTATTAAATCCTATCAACCAGGTTATTAATTACTACAGGTAAATGCAAGTACAAATATTATAGTAGTAAACTATAAGTAAGAATGGTAACATTTTATTATTGGTATTGGTGAGTGAGCATTTCCAGAGCATCATGGGGTGATGCCTTGGACATGTGGGGGGCAAGTATACTTTTTCCTTCCCTCTGCTGCACTGTTTATCCCAACAAGCACTCTAATAACATGTACGGGGTAAAGAAATAAGAAAGTCTAACTTTCAGAGGAGTGACTACCCTCGTTTTGAAGGAAAATTTTATCCAAATAGGTAGTTTCTTATACAATCTATTTTCATGTTCATTGGGTATTAATGGAAACATAAAAAAAAAATTTGCTCATGGCAGCCATACTTTTATTCACCTTTCTCTAGTCCCACTTGTAGCTAGACATTAAATCCTAATAGACAAAAATCATATAGAACGAAAAATAAAGTAAATATTTAGCTGGTTAGTGTGGATTCTAAATCCATAAGAGCAGCACACTGCAGACCCTTACGATGAAGTAGCACTTAGCAAGTATTAGGGCTGTAAATATCCTGTATCTGTATTTACCCTGTGCCTTCGAGGGCACCTGTCTCTAGTCGCACTTGCTGCTAGACACTAAATCCTAATAAACAGAGATCATATTGAATGAAATAAAATAAAGAAAATAAAGTAAATATTTAGCTAGATGGTGTGGTCGCAAGTCCATGTGCTCTAACTCTAAATCCATAAGAGTAGCACACTGCAGACCCCTGACGCGCGTGTTTCGCCCAACCTGGCACGTCTTGTCGGCTTGACAAGAGGAATACGACATCTGAAGCCCATGTCCAGGATCCATCTGTGTATGGTGGCTCTTGATGCACTGACTCCAGCCTCAGTCCACTCCTTGTGAAAGTCCCCAACACATTTGAATGGCCTTTTCCTGACAATCCTCTCCAGGCTGTGGTCATTCCTGCTGCTTGTGCACCTTTTTCTTCCACACTTTTCCCTTCCACATAACTTTCTATTAATGTGCTTTGATACAGCACTTTGGGAATATCCAACTTCCTTCGCAATTACCTTTTGAGGCTTTCCCTCCTTATGGAGGGTGCCAGTGATGGTTTTCTGTACAACTGTTAGGTCAGCAGTCTTCCCCATGATTGTGATTCCTACTGAACCAGACTGAGAGACCATTTAAAGGTTCAGAAACCCTTTGCAGGTGTTATGGCTTACTTAGCTGATTAGAGTGGCACACTGTGAGCCTAGAATATTGCACCTTTTCACAATATTCTAATTTACTGAGATTGTGTATTTCGGGTTTTCATGAGCTGTAAACCATAATCATCGCATTTATGGCAAATCACAGCTTGAACTATCTTGCTTTGCATGTAATGCGTCTATCGCATATATTAGTTTCCCCTTTTACATTGCATTACTGAAATAAATATAATTTTGCATGATATTCAAATTTTTCGAGTATCACCTGTATATTAAATGCCAACTCATGCTATGGCATGACAGTTACCCAGATCATTCACTGAACGAGTGAGATCTGCTGTTATCTGCGTCAAATCAGTTTTTCCTGCTGAGCTCTTGCATATGGTTTTGTATAGTGGAGGTAAATGCTTGGGAAGCCAATAGTGATTCTAATGTACCGTATATACTCGAGTATAAGCCGAGTTTTTCAGCACATTTTTTGTGCTGAAAAACCCCAACTCGGCTTATACTCGAGTCAGTGTCTGTATTATGGCAATTTACATTGCCATAATACAGACTGGGGGCTGGCAGAGAGCTGTTACTTACCTCTCCTGCAGCTCCTGTCAGCTCTCTCCTCCTCCGCCGGTCCGGTCAGCACCTCGGTCAGCTCCCAGTGTAAGTCTCGCGAGAGCCGCGGGGTCATAGTGCGGCTCTCGCGAGACTTACAGTGTGAGCTGAGAGAAGAGCTGCACGGACCGGCGCGGAGGAGGAGAGAGCTGACAGGAGCTGCAGGAGAGGTAAGTAACAGCTCTGCCAGCCCCCCTCCTCCCCCCACTGAACTGCCAATGCCACTGGACCACCAGGGAAGGAGAGCCCCCCTCCCTGCCATGTATCAAGCAGGGAGGGGGGACGAAAATAAATAAATATAATAATAAAAATAATAATAAAAAATAATAAAAAAAATAATAATATAACAAAAAAAAATTAAAATAATAATTTTTTTTTTATAAAAATGCCCACCCCCCACCAAGGCTCTGCAACACAAACACACACTGCATAACACACACACACACTGCACTCATATACACACACTGCATTTATACACACACTGCACTCATACACACACTGCATTTATGCACACACACTGCACTCATACACAAACACTGCACTCATACACAAACACTGCACTCATACAGACACTGCATTCATACACACACTGCATTCATACACACACTGCGCACTCATACACACACTGCGCACTCATACACACACTGCGCACTCATACACACACTGCATTCATACACACACTGCATTCATACACACACACTGCATTCATCATATACACACACTGTAAATAAATATTCAATTAATATCATTTTTTTAGGATCTAATTTTATTTAGAAATTTACCAGTAGCTGCTGCATTTCCCACCCTAGTCTTATACTCGAGTCAATACATTTTCCCAGTTTTTTGGGGTAAAATTAGGGGCCTCGGCTTATATTCGGGTCGGCTTATACTCGAGTATATACGGTAAGTGTTTGGTTTGAGGTCTGTTGCACTAGTGAGAGAACAACCTTCAGATGACATCAGCGTTCTTCAAATTTCACACGCCACGTAAGTTTGTCATTTTGCCCTTGTTTTCTTTGCTCTGGCTCCTGCCATAATGTATCTCTTGGGCCAATATATTTATGTCAAAAGTCACTGTGAAAGCCGCTGTAGTAGCCAGTATGCACAAATTCTATATACAGTAATGGTCTGTTCTAAATGTTATACTTTATTGTTCCCTTGCTGGTCTATTGTGGAACAATGTATTGATGTGTAGGATATACTGTTCTGTTCATTAGGGATATGAGCACATGGCAGTTGTGCTTATATGCAATAGCTGCTGCCCTTAGGCTAACATGGTGGCAATAGAGCATTTAATATTTGAAATATTGACATTTAGGCAATGTGCTGAGCTTGATAGATAATTGGCTCATATATTTGATTTCTTTACATGATTAATGGGTCTTAAAGTAAATAGGAATACAACCGTTTGGTATATAGCTGTGTTTGATATTGTTCAGTCTATTTTCTCCCCAGGTACTGTACTTTTCAGATGTTTTTTTTATATCTTGCAGCCAGTCTTTCTCAATCCATGTGACCTCAGTGAAATGTAAGTCACTTTCTATAATATTTTTAAAATATTAAACATCTTTTTTTTTTCAAAATATCGCTTTAATTGTTTGCTTTCAACTTTTAGATGTGTCAGTTTTATGGAGCAGCCCTTGGAAGTGTGGTATGTGTGGTGAGTGACACATAGATCCTTATATAGCTTTTTTTAATAATTAAAAGGTCAGTGAAAGCACCGTAACCATTCCAGCATGCAAAAGTGGTTATAGTACCAGATGACTCATGATGCAGTCTCACATTAAGCAGCCTAATTGTTTTGTACAGTTTGATACTTACATGGTACTCTTGTGTGCCTCATGTTCAGCACTCTCCTCAGACATACCTGAAGCAGAGGTTCCCTTTCAAATTAGCTCAGTGTCAGACAGATGAAACTGATATGACTAATATGGGATGTGAGATTTCAGCCTTACAAGGTTATTCAATAATATGAGAATTTACTGCAAAGTGAATTAAACATTTGTAAGGCAAAAATGAAAACAGAATTCACATGAACATTTTTCTGTTGCTGCTATTTCAATTATATGTGAAGAGATGGGCTGACTGGATAGAACCAGGTAAACTGATACCCCATCCTTACAATTCTAGAAACTAATCTTAATGCATGGACAGTGGCTAATATAAGAAATCTCTTTTCAACTGTATGATTATTCCAGGCTACAATTCTTCTCTGATTTAGTGACAAAGTATCCACTCCCACCTTCTGCTTTATTCATTTATCTATATATATAAAACACTCATACCAGGTTGACTCACATGATCAATGCAAAAGTCAAAAACTTTGAGAGACTCTGCCTACACCCAAGTCAGAAGGTAAAATCTCTGCTTCCAGGAAATTACTAACACTGCTACTACTGCCTCCTCGTAACTGTCATACATGTTACAATGAAAAAATAATTAAAGGAATACTATAGGGTCAGGAACACCAACATGTATTCCTGACCCTATAGGGTTAAAACCACCATCTAGCCCACTGTCGCCTGCTTGCCTCCCTAAATATAGTACAATTTTACTGGTATTCAAGTCTGCAGCTGCTGGCTCTGTCTCTGAACTGCCTCTGTCTGATGACATCATCAGATGTGGTGGTCTAAGCTAATTACAATGCTTCCCAATGTGATTGGTTGTCAAGGAGGCAGATCTGGGGCAGAGCCAGCACAAGTCAAACACAGCCCTGGCCTATCAGCATCTCCTCATAGAGATGAATTGAATCAATGCATCTCTATGAGAAAAGTTCAGTGTCTGCATGCAGAGGGTGGAGACACTAATTGGCAGTGCTGTGCACTAGGCAGTACTGCCCCAGGTAGAACCTCTAGCAGACATCTGAGGAGTGATCAGTGGAGTTATCACTAGGCTGTAATATAAACACTGCATTTTCGCTGAAAAGACAGTGCTTACAGAAAAAAGCCTGAAGGTTATGATTCTACTTACCAGAACAAATACAATAAGCTGTGGTTTTTCTACAAATATATTCCACTGGATCAATGGAAGAGAATGTCCACACAAATGCATAGTGTATCCAAGTGCGTAAACCACTATAAAACAAAACACAAACTAATAGTGTGTTGGCACCTGGTCTCACATAGACTCTCTGCTACTTTTCCAAACTTTCCGTCCTCCTGCTAACATTGCAAGAATGCAATGGGCACCATGCGGCACAAGTTGTGGTACTTCATAACTCTCCAGTCTTTCTGGCAGGTGGTAGCTAAGAACATCTCAAGGCCAATGGGGATTTCCCTCCCTTTTCAGCCTGAAGCCTTATTTTTGGACATTCCCCCTGTCAGTTGTTAAGAACCTGCAAAAACACTGATTATGCACATCCTGACTGCTGTCAAAACAGTCATAGATAGACGTTTCCATTACTAAAGGAATTATTATTACAACAGTTGCAGATCTCTGAACAATATGAAGAGATGTCCTTTCAGAACAAATAAAAGTCATTTTATTCTACAAAATCTGGGATTGGGATTGTTCAGGTCTTCTGTTTTCCATTCTCCTTCTTATTTTTTACTTTATATGTCCTCCCTCTACAGTTCTTTGGAACCCTTTTTAAATGACAGCAGAGAATAAGGCACTTCCTTATCCATCATATTAATATTTTTCAATGTACTACTTTTTTCTACATGCAGAGAGCTAAAATGTCTTTGTAATTGTTTCATATGTAAATTCAGCACTGTCTTGTTTTCTTATTGCACCTCCTATGTTTGACTATTTACAGTGGGACAGTGCCATGGGGCTCCTGGGACCACAACCACTCCGCCACATAGTAGGTTTAGGATGCTAAGACTATGCCGTTGAGGATGTATTTCAAAAATGTAATAATACATTACTGTTTGGGCACTGTTTTTATATTTCTTACTGAAATTAATAACATTTTTGAGAATTTATTTATTAATTCAGCATAGACATATAAGATTTAAAAGAAACAATGCCTTCATGGCATTTCAGCACGATTATGCAGCAGGGTGTTTGAGAGTAATACATGACAATGAATAGCTATCCGCTTATAAGTATGGAGATTGCTTGTTGTGTTTTTCCAAGTTAATTAAAAAAATATATTAAAAACATGGAGGGAAAGTGAAAATGTATTATAAAGTAAACATACAAAGATTTTAAATTGTATTCCTTTAGCTGTGATGTGCTGAGGGAACATTGAAAATAAATTTAATGTATATGGGAATTCCCTGGTGCTGCTGAAGCACAGATTCGTGGCTATTTTATATTCTTTTTAATTAATATATTTTTTTGGATTATTTATTATGCTATGCTGGAACCTGCTGTACCTTTCCTGATCTGACCTCTCTGGTGGGGATTATTAGTATATCATTGGCTTCCAGAGATGACTCCCAATCCAAAACTAAACCAGCATGGAAATGTGGTTTCTGGAAAAAACATTTGTGAAACATTGCATTCTCACTTTTTGGAAAAAAATATAACACCTTGCAAGCTAGCTCTTGACTAAGGGTTTTCTATTCCAAAGATCCATTATAATGTTTTCAGCTCACATGTCATTGTCATGTCATATCCATCACTAGAATCATAGGACCAAACAGGAAGGCTTTAAAATGAATAGCACTTGAAGATAGCTGGTCTTACTAACTTGGGTAGCCAGCAAGCCATCAAGAGAAGACATGGTTTAGGTCTGCACTTTTATTACATATTGACACCGCAAATCAGTTATTTAGCTTCGCTCCATGATACTTTTCTTTATCAGCAGACATGGGAGAATGTCCAGAGCCAGCTCTTGTAAGAACAAATCACAAGTCACGCTTGGAAGAAACAAACCAAGACAACCAAGCTGCAGATTAATGAGGATTCCCTCATGGCCTTTAATTCAAAATGTAACTGCTCCAACAATGCCAATTCCTATAGAATATATCAAATGAATATTAAATTATATTATAGTGAACATAAGTAGTGAGATCAAATGTGAATGAAATGTGAATTTGCTCTAATTGGATTGATGACGGACATGCTTGAAGGCTACATGGAAGAAGAGGTTACATACCACAATGTTCAGACCAACATTTATCACGGTTAAAGGAGGTGATACAGCTATAACTTATGATCACTGACCTGGAGCAACAATCTCTGTATCCAAGGAGATCCAGAAGATTTCAAAGCAGCAGACTTATCTACATACATGCACATTTTCATGTGGCCTTATTTCTAAAGAGAAGGATACCTAAGTGATACTGGATTGCATCCACTGACTGTCAAGGTCTCCCAAACAATTGTCAGGGATCTTCTAGGAACATGATCACCATATTCACCAATACAACCAAATGGTGGATACTGTGAACAGATAAATGTCTTCTGAGGTTTACCCACCCAAATGTTCAAAACTGAAGATATTTGTAGACTTTTCCTAGCTTACTGTACAACTGCAGAGAGAATTCATGTGACAACACTTCTTGGTCCCTCAAGAGTCCTTTTACTCTCTCATGCACAGATATCCAGATTTGGAATAGTCTTCTTGCAATGCAATGGTTTCCTTTGCAATTCTTTAAATAACAGTACCTTTGTTGTCCTTCTACTTGGAGAAAGACTTTAGAGTACAGAAAACATATTACAAAGTATATGGAAACTTGTGGTCTTATATTGGGACAGATACACTCCTCTTAATAAGTTCACATATGGTGGTCAAATGCTGTGGTCAAGCCTCTATGCCTGTATGTTTTCCAGCTGGTGAACACAGTGACTAATACTGTATGTACATCAGACCCCTCTATTGTCCTTCTTCTCTACTTCAATATCAAAAAAGATGCCTATTTAGCCTCAAATGTTAATGTAAATTGTCCTCAGAGATAGTCTCTCTTCCGGCCTCCATAATGCACTGTGCTGGAACACAAAATATACGAATGAATGTCCTATAATCAACATGACCTGTACATTTGGAAAATATAAAATATTTGGAGTTTGGAAAACATTCAATGTTACTACTAAATACTTTAAAGGGACTCAGGCAGGTCCCCAAGAAACACATCTGGCACTAGAAGCCCACTAAGTAGCTTTATGCATGGACAATTCAAGCAATCAAACTCTTCTAGAGCATCTAAGATTTATGAATACAGCAGACTTGTATTTCTGTGTGTATTAGTTTGTTTTGGTTTATCCGTTACTTTTGCACAACCATTTTATACCATGATTCTATATACATGACATGTCTGACTGTTCACTGCTCTGTTACATTTACTTTGTGATGTACCACCGTTGCTATGTCAATAAAAATTATACTGGAAAAAAGTAACTGTACTATGATTAAGCATACACAGAGCACAGAAACATTTCTCATTGCTTCTTGTCCTTTACTGTATGTAAAGTGTATGATTGAACATATTGATGCAATGCTGTCAAAGACATGGTCATGATTGAGAGCCTTTGTTCTCACTGTATTGTGGTGAACTCCTGTTCTACGGGGCCCCCTTATGTCCTTTGCTGTCTGAAGACAAACTAGATTAGTGGCATTTACTCTTACACTAAAGCTAAGCTTGGTGAAACCAAGATCTTATTAATCTCAACCAAAATATTGTTAAACTTTACTTTCCAACCTTGGATTGGACAATATACTTCTTTCATATTCCTGATCATTACAGTGTTTGTAATGTAATGTCTATTGTCATTAGCTCACCAACATCAGGAATCCCGAACATTTCATGTCTGATCTTGCAATCTCTCCCACAATTTATATACTTAGCACTGTGTGGCTTTTTGGAATTTATAAATTCAGTATCTATAGCTGGGTATCAATGCTTTCAGTGACATTTGCCATTCTATCTGATACTGGAATACTGTAAACTAGAAAGTATAGTCGCAGCTCTGACAAACAAAATGTCAGCATGTCCAGAGCCCCAGAGAAAGATAGCTTTACAGGCACAGATCAATTTACATGATTGAAGCCTCTTTAGTAATCACTTTGTTTGCCAATGCTGAATTGTCAAGTTTAAATGTAACCGTGCAGAAAAGCACTACTGGTTTAGCCTTTGTGATGGACTGTTACATATTCTAAACCATGTTATGTTCATCTACACTACAAAAGAATATGATAAAACTAGCTTCTTCTAGTCTTCTACCAAGTAGGAACTATAGCTGAACTCTTTTCAAAAGGTAACTTTGTCAAACAGATTCTGTAACTACATTCATGCCATTGCAGAATTTAAAGTGGATATAACGAGCTCCAGGTCAATGAAAAATAGCTAACACATTTTATATTCTTAAGGTGCTTTTGCTTATACAGCAGTTTCCATTGGTAGATGTGCTGTAAAGGTTATTAGCACAGCAAATGCTCTCTAAAAAGTAGATGTTTGGTGATCATCCAGATTTTAGATAAAACTCGATTGACTGGAAATCTATGGGAACTGATTTCTTTGTTATTTAAGAAAATGCGTATGTCCATGTTATGAAGTCATTGACTAGTAGAGTGGTGTTTCCAAGCCCCAATTGAGCTATTCCCTAAAGTCCGAATAGTCCGTACTAGATGGGGAAAAATTATCAGGGTGCATACAGGGTTTTCACACTGCAAAATCTAGACATTGTTCAGATTATTCAACAATGTCTGAATTTTGCAACAAAAAAAAAAAAAAAACATTAGTCCACTAGCAGCACTAGCAGACATCGGGCAAATAGTTAAAATCCCTCGGCAAGGGCTAAGTATATGGCAGATGACCATTGCTTTATAGCTGTGCTTTATTTATTTATAGCCAGCTAGCCAACTGCCACATTAAATAGTTAGAAAAATAAAACATGGGGATTATCTACCAGATATTTCAAATTAGCGACTGAGTCACAATGACTCAACATAAAATATAAAATATCAAAGTACATAATAAAACACAAATATTATGACATATTCTCGGATAGCTTGGATCTGAGCGCCCAAGTTGTCCAAATAGTGCTCAGATCCCACAAACACAGCCAAATCGCCACGAGGTAAAGATTTCAGGAGTCCCAAACTGAACAAATCCACGAACGGTGCCCCTGGCTCATAAGTAGCGTTTGTTCCCTGGGTTTGTGAGACCAAACCTACTGAACAGTGCTCTCCTGGCTGGTCAGGGAAAAGAAGCAGTAGTTTGCAAACTTGACCGGCATGTGGGAAGTCGAGTGTCCGATTTTGAGTTCCAGATACTCGACGACCAAGTCACACTGCCTCTTTTTGTGCACCAAGATGGCCGCCATTTTCTCCAAAATGTGTTGTTCAGCTACAGGAGGGGAGAGTGCTAATTCCTGTGGTTTTCTTTGAACTTAATTAGCCAGGGGTTGGTTGGTGTTCAGTAGATTTATCTACCAAACCAAAAAATTGCAAATGAGAACCGAAGTATGTAGATTTCTTCACAATGCTCCCCCTAGTTTCATTGAGTGGCACATCTGCTTATACCCTGCTGGGTTAGCTTGGGCCTCTCCGGTAGTACTGGAGTACCCAAGATCTCTGAGAGGCCTCTATAACGTCTAGCTCTAACATTTCCTGAATCACGGACAGCATATTTTTTCTGACGGCCTCAGGGATACGGTACGGTTATTGTCATAGGGGCATTTCTTCCTGGGTCTCCACTCGGTGGACCACAGAGGAGGTGTACCCAGGCAATGAGGAAAACATTTCCAAATATCCCTTCTCTAAGGAGTTGAATTTCTCTCCTAGTCTGACTTGTTCTATCGTATCGGAGGAAGGGGCGAGCAAGTCAGGTAGGGGAAGACCCTTGTTATCCTCAAACGAAGGGGCACATACTGACGCTATGTCCTCTACTCGCTAAAAGTAGGGCTTGAGCATGTTCACATGAAAGGATCTCCGTATCCTTTCATCTGAACATTTCCCCACTATGTAGGTAGTTTCGCTTATGTGCTGCACTACCCAGAATGGTCCCTGTTACGCGTTCTGAAGTCTGTCTTTCTTAGACGGCTTGAGAGCTAACACCTTCTGTCCTATTTCTAGGACCCTATCTCTGGCACCCCTATCATACCACCTCTTCTGGCATCGCTGAGCCACCTGCAGATTCTCCAGGATGGAGGCAGTGAGTGTATGCAAGCGGTCCCTCAACTCCAAAACATAGAGTACAATAGGTATTCTTTCCTCTCCTGTGTTGCCCTCCCAGTGTTCCCGTATAAGCTCTAGGGACCCCCATATGTAATGGTAAATTAAGTAATTTCTTTATGTTTATGAAATTCTGAATTTCATAAATATGAAATAATACCACAAATAAAATAATAAAAGGTATACTGGTCAATCACATAAATATTAGTGAATATCTTGAATGAACAGACAAGAGGCAAAGTTTTGATGAAAGTATAAACAAAACTTTACTGGGAATAGAATTATCAAGTAGAGATGTCGCGAACCGTCCGCGAACTTCTCGCGAACGGTTCGCCACGAACCGTTCGTGGTGAACTCCGGTCAGCTGACACATCCCGGCCAATCTCCAGCAGACCCTCCCTCCCAGACCCTCCCACCTCCTAGACAGCATCCATGTTGAAGCTGCTTTCAACATGGATGCTGTCCAGGAAGTAGGAGGGTCTGGGAGGGAGGGTCTGCTGGAGATTGGCCGGGATGTGTCAGCTGACCGGAGTTCGCCGTGAACGGTTCGTGGCGAACCGTGGCGAACCGTTCGCGAGAAGTTTGCGGACGGTTCGCGACATCTCTATTATCAAGCACACAAAAAACAAAAACTTTAAAAACACACACTGCTATAAACAATACATTCAGGTAAGAAATCTACTTAGCTCTATTCATGGAGATTCAGCAGCTTACACAGGATAATTGAATTAGCATAACACACAGAACAATGAGGTGAGTTCCTTGCCACATGTTAAATGGATTTACATGGGTACCTCTAAAGACACCTGGCTTCTTCCGACCCAGTCATGAAACTGCTCTCTAGTTTCTGGTAACCCCTTAAATAACCTCCCATCTAGTATCCACCCACAGAGGTAACATTACCAATACCTAATGGTCATCTATAGGAGGCGGATACTACATGTGGTCATTTGTGAAAGGAAGTGACTTAAGAATTCTCAATACCTTCCTAAAGCACATGTCTCATTGACTATGCGGCAACTATCTTTATTCACTCAACGTCACAGTGCTCACTAGGCCACCTATAGGTCACTTCCTCCCTAAAGCACACGTCTCATTAAATATGCAACAGCCATCTTCTTGCTCTTAATGTCACATAGCTCACTACACCCCCTATAGGTATCAGAATTTATTGCACATGAATGGGAACACAATAATAGAACATTTATCACTGCCCATAACCAATACACCATACTTTTCTCCTGTAAAGGAGTCTGAACGGGGAGAACCCTGTAGACGCCTGGAGCACTTCACGGTAGGCAAAAAGGAGATAGGAGATCAATCTCTCCCAGTGACAACCGGAGGCTTTGAACGTTTTAAGCATTTGCTTGGGCATACCATTAAAACGTTCACAGAGTCCGTTCATCTGGGGGTGGTAGGGAGAGCTGAACAGGGGTTTCACTCCGCAACTCTGCCATAACTTTTGGGTAATAGTGGTGTAAACTGAGTCCCCTGATCAGATAAAATCTCCCTGCTGAAACCAACTCTAAATATTTACTAGAGCCTCTGCCACAGTTTCTTCCTCTATATTAGAAAGAGCTACAGTAGCATAGTCTACTCCCGCAAGGATATAGCTCTTTCCCAAGGTTCTGGGCTTACTGAGGGGACCTATCAAGTCTACCACAACTCAGTGGAAGGCTTTCTCGATGATGGGTTAGGGGGGAATTTCGCCTTCGGGTGGTCACCCCTCTTCCCTATCCTCTGACAAGTGTCACATGTCCTGCAGTAATCCTGTAGGCCCATCTGATCCCTGGCCAAAAGAAGGTCTGGGTCAGCCGGTCTTTAGTCTTCCAGACCTCCACATGTCAGGCTAGGGGAATGTCATGGCTGAGCTTGAGTAGCTCAGCCCTAACTTTACGTGGCACTATTAACTGTCTTTTAGCTATCTGCACATCCCCACACCCTTATCCCCCTGTCACCCTCTATAATAAACCTTGTCCCACTCAAACCTTTCCAGAACTATATCTCCTTGGGGGATGCTGCCTCTTTCCTATACCCTTCTAGTGTGGGGTCGGTCCTCTGCTCTTGCTCAAAGCCTTGGGTGGTACCTCAGAATGGGAGAGGGACTTTGGTCAAAGGAGGGACAGAAGATCCTACCTGAGGTTCCTTGGAGTGCACTGGCTGCCCCTGCATGCTTGCGATCTGGTGCTCACTGGTACATTTCCTCTGGGAAGGTATGTTGGAGCTGGGAAGTCAGGCAGCCCAGGTCATTTCCCAATAACACATTGGCTGGTAGCTCCTTCATTATGCCCATCTCCAAATGTTTGGCTCCTGAGCCCCAGTTGAGGTGCACCCAGGCAGTGGGAAGCTTAGGTATGGCTCCTCCCACCATCCTTACGGCTACTGTTTTGTTGGTGTATTTGGTGGCACTTAGTTCTTGGGGGCAAAACCATTATTGGCAATCACAGAGGTCAGATGTTTCTTGAAGTTGGCCACCAGGTTTAAACAAATTTCAGGAGGGATTTTGTCACACTCCTCTTTGCAGATCCTCTCCAAATCATTAAGGTTTCGAGGCTGACGTTTGGCAACTCGAACCTTCAGCTCCCTCCACAGATTTTTTATGGGATTAAAGTCTGGAGACCGGATACGCCACCCCAGTACCTTAATGTGCTTCTTCTTGAGCCACTTCTTTGTTGCCTGGCTGTGTGTTTTGAGTCATTGTCATGCTGGAATACCCATCCACGAGCCATTTTCAATGCCCTGGCTGAGGGAAGGAGGTTCTCACCCAAGATTTTATGGTACATGGCCCTGTCCATAGTCTCTTTGATGCGGAGCAGTTATCCTGTCCCCTTATCAGAAAAACACCCCCATGTTTGACGGTGGGGATGGTGTTTTTGGGGTCATAGGCAGCATTCCTCCTCCTCCGAGAGTCTAATGAAATTTATTTTGACTTTTTTTAATTTTTAAAATGCCTTATGATATTCTTTAAAATTGTTCTCTAACCTATTTTTGCAAAGAAAGAATGGGTTACTGAGTTAATGCAATGTTCCTAATTTGGATCCCTATAAAAAGATTAGTAACTACTGATATAGACAGATATACAGATATGGATTTATAGAACGCATTAATAAAGCAAGCACAGTTTCCAGACTTGTATATTAAAAGTACATAATTCAGAGAAATTGCTTTTTCCCTATCCCCTTCATGACTATCCATTGTACTATTATTTTGTGCATGTTTTTCTTGCTATCTTGTTTCCTTCTATCATTCAATGATTGGCATCTCTCTATGTGTGCTATCTTTACCAACATCCTAATTTCATTATTCTGCTCTTACTAGTTTTATCACAAGGCACTTCATTGTTCCAATCTAGTAGCAATACAGGCTACATAGTGTGCATTTTGAAAAATGTATAAGACTCATTATGCTTTAACAATAATGCTACAAAAAAATGTAACAGCATCTAGCATAGTACAAATTAGTAGAAGTGAGTATTATTAGGATGACATAACAGGAATGTACATCAATTATTTAACTTATTCATAAATATTAGTAAACATGGATGTTAAAATGGCAGCATTTTGGGAATTGCAGATCTAGAAAATCTAGGGATATTATATGTGGTACCCCTTTTCTAGCACTGGAGCTTTGGCTCTGTCTGTGAGGGGAACCACTGTGAGCTGGCTGAGAGATCTCCCTACTTAGCCCTTAGCCCTGAGCCCTCTTACAGTGCCACAACTCATTTGCCATTTTTCATGTGTCACGTGGGACCCTGTGACATAGAACTCCCACTTGCATTTCCATTTCATTCATGTTCTCACCCCTACCTGTTTCCACGCAATACCTCTGCCACATGCTGTATTAGCGCATCTAAAGCCTGGCAGAGGTTGGGACAGCCACAGCAACCTAGCATGCAACTCAGCTTTTCAAGAATACTCAGGGTACGAGATGGGATGGGGAGAGTAGAGGTGGGGGGAAAAAACAAAAGAGTCACATGGAAAATCAAATCAGTAACACTTCAATGTGCATTTTCACCTGGAAAGATGGTAGGGCCCATACACTGTACTACTGAAGAGGCCTGTCTGGCCAGCCCCCAGACTTCTGGACCTTGCAGAGAGTGCTGCTCAAGTCTAGCTCAAGGGTCATTGTGCCCATGCACAGTTCAAGAACCATTAATGTGCTTCCCAAGGCAGTATCCTAATCTACCAGGATGCAAAACACAAGGGAACTAAATTGGGACAGTCCTGCCAAAATCGGGACAATCCCACTGAAAGTGGAATTGTTGGAAGGCCTAATGCATGCACCATGTGCCAAATACCATTTGTTTACCTCTGCATTAACTCACACATATATCACACACATCTCTATTCTTTTACACTGATGCTTCACACAAATACACCTTTCCTTCACATTCATACATCAACTTCACCTTTATTCACACATACAGTGGCACTGCAAGAATGAGGTGTTGAGTCTTAATTATTTAGGACTCTTTTATTCACTCATATACAATGAATTTTACATTAGAGGCTCACAGCAAAACATACATTATTGTGCGTTGTTCAGTGATTGCTTTTTTATCTGCAGCACTGTGAATAAGTTATCTTATAAAGCCCCTCCCAATATTGGGCCCTGGATTCACCCCTAAAGACACACATGGAGACCTGGGTAATGGAAAGAAACACACAAAAGGGGCTGCAGAGAGATACATACAAGTGGATTTAAATTGATTGCGAGATATTAACCAGGGGTCCTTCTGCAACCAAGCCTTGGTGGAATTTGAGCTATGTTTGGGATCATTGACTAGTTGGGAGGTCCAATGATGTCCAAGCTTCAGCTTCCTCACAAATGGCATGACATGTTCTCCTAAGATTTCCTGATACTTCACTAAATTCCTCTTGCCTTCCACAAGTTGCCAGTGCCAATAATGCAAAGCAACCCTAAAGCAAACCCACCACAATGCTTAACTGTAGGTAGACTGTTCTTTTCAGCGTATGCTTTATTCTTCTTCCTCCAGACATACCACTGATTCATCGGGGTTTAATCGTTCCACAGAACAGAATCTCAAAACTTCTGTGGCAAATTTATGTGATTTTTAGTATATTGGAGCATAGTTTTCTTGTGTTTTTTGGGTCAGTAGTGGTGCATGTCATGGAGTTCTGGCATAGAGACCTTCTGCGTTTAGTATGCATTTTACAGTACTCACTGAAATCTCATTGCATGTTGCCACCAAGTCTTGCTGCGTGTCTTTTACAGTCACTTGAGGGTTTTACAGAACCTTCTTTCTCAGAAATCTGGTTGCAGCCATTGATAGCGTCCCTTTTCTGCCCTGTCCAGGTAGTGTAACCACTGCTCCTTCAACTTTGAACTTGCGAACTATGCTTCCAATGGTATCTCTCGGAACATTCATTGCTATCTTTTTGTATCCTGTTCCTTGTTTATGAAGGGTGATGTTCTCTTCTCTTAACTTTGTGGACCATTCTTTTGACTTAGCCATATTTCTAACATGCAGTGAAACATGACACTCAACAAACTCCTAGCCAGTTCAGGCATTTTTAGTGTTCTAGCTAAAGCAAATCTGGTACAACTAATGAAGCCCTTGATTAGTAAAAACACATGTTTGGTGAGACAACACCTGTTTTGCATATTTATATTGTTGTGAGAGATTCTACTCAGGGGATTGAATAATTTTGAGACTGGAGAAGTCATTATAAGTTAAATTTTCAGTTGAATTTAGGGAAACCACTTGAAACATTCATTGTGTTGAGCTATTTCAATTGCTTTTGTCTGATTTGTTCATTCCAATCAACTGAAAGTTTGTAAATTTTGACAATAAATATTATTTTGAAGGATTTTGATTACAACCGTACAACATTCAGACTGCACATACAACACTTAGACAATACAATACAACCCTCAGCTTTCTCCATTCTCCATTTTTCCATTCACCTCTAGGCAACCTGCCTAGGATCCCGGGCAACCTTAAGCAAGCTTTGCAAGCAATCACAATTAGTATCCATAGTGATTGCTCCACATTTAGAACATGACCTGATGTTCTTATTCGCGATATTTTTGAAATCTCCTCAAACTTTTCCTCATTAACAACTGGTAGATCTGTCATTGCCATGAATGACACAGTTAAAATGACTGGACTTTTGATTGATTCATCTGTGCAGTATCCAAAACTTGTATATTCTAAACACCTGGACTGCAACACTCCCCTGGGAATAGTAGTCAGTCAAGGAGCCCCACAGTTCTGACAGGTAGATTTAAAGCAGATTTACTGTAAAAGTATGAGCCAATCTCAAATCTTGAATCTTTTAAAAATAAATTTTAATTTGTTTCTCATGAAATGGATTTTTCATTTGCTTAATAATTCTAAATGTTATGCTCTATGAGTATGATATTTTAGGAGACATTTACAACAGCAGGCACATTTTATTATTGCAGAAATATAACTTATACTGTCAATAACAAATTAAATAAACCAACTATTTAAATCACTTTTACTTTATTGTTGATTTAAATCCTGATTTAAATCAAGCTACACCAGGAAACTGAACTAATTATGTGTTGACTCAGCCTTGATAGAATGCTACTGATATGATATATTAGCATATATATTAGAACGAATAGTGTAAGATTGGCTCATCTGAGTACAGGCACATCTTAACGGTGTATACTATAGCAAAATAATCACTATGGGCAACTTTCACAGCATTATGCACGCTTGTGCTATTTCTATTCTTTTTTTATTGTTAAATAGCAATCATTAAAGATAAATTATGAAATCCAGCCAGCATAAGTAACTCTGAGCTAGCCTGTGTGGGCCTGATGTGCCCCTATTATGTCAACCTGTCATGGCAAGTTAACTTTAAAGGGACACTGTAGTCACCAGAATAACTATAGCTTAATGCAGTTGTTCTGGTGAGTATAGTCAGTTAGTGTAGGCTTTTGAATGTAAATACTGCCTTTTCAGGGAAAAGGCAGTGTTTACATTACAGCCTAGGAACACCTCTAGTGGCCACTACACAGTGGCCACTAGAGGTACTTCCTGGGTCAGTGCTGCACACCTTGCTGAATAAATCAATCTATAACGAGATGCTGATTGGCTAGGGCAACGTTTGGCTCCACTTTGCCTCCTTTGACTGAGAACATCAGAATTGGCAATCTCAGCAAATCCAATGCATTACAGTGAGAGGAAAAAAGTATTTGACCCCTGCTGATTTTGAACGTTTCCCCACTGACAAAGAAATGATCAGCCTATAATTTTAATGGTAGGTGTATTTTAACAGTGAGAGACAGAATAATAACAACAACAACAAATCCAGAAAAATGCATGTCAAAAAAGTTATAAATTGATTTGCAAGTCAATGAGTGAAAAAAGTATTTGATTCCCTATCAGTCAGCAAGATTTCTGGCTCCCAGGTGTCTTTTATATGATTTGGTAATGAGCTGAGATTACACTAATTTTAGCTTGTTACCTGGTTAAAAGACACCTGTCCACAGAAGCAATCAATTAATCAGATTCCAAACTCTCCACCATGGCCAAGACCAAAGAGCTGTCTAAGGATGTCAGGGACAAGATTGTAGACCTACACAAGGCTGGATGGGTCTACAAGACCATTGCCAAGCAGCTTGGTAAGAAGGTGACAACCGTTGGTGCGATTATTAGCAAATGGAAGAAACACAAAATAACTGTGAGTCTCCCTCGGTCTGGTGTTCCATGCAAGATCTCACCTTGTGGAGTTTCAATGATAATGAGAACAGCGAGGATACATGGGATGATTTTGATCCAGTCTCCAGACCTTAATCCCATAGAAAATCTGTGCAGGGAGCTGAAGGTTTGAGTTGCCAAATGTCAGCCTTGAAACCTTAATGACTTGGATAGGATATGCAAAGAGGAGTGGGACAAAATCCCTCCTGAGATGTGTGCAAACCTGGTGGCCAACTACAAGAAACATCTGACCTCTGTAATGACTTAGATAGGATCTGCAAAGAGAAGTGGGACAAAATACCTCCTGAGATGTGTGCAAACCTGGTGGCCAACTACAAGAAACATCTGACCTCTGTAATTGCCAAGAGTTTTGCCACCAAGTACTAAGTTGAAGGGGTCAAATACTTATTTCACTCTTTGACATGCAAATCAATTTATAACTTTTTTGACATGCGTTTTTCTGGATTTTTTTTTTTTTTTTTATTCTGTCTCTCACTGTTAAAATACACCTACCTTAAAATTATAGACTGATCATTTCTTTATCAGTGGGCAACAGTTCAAACTGAGCAGTGGATCAAATACTTTTTCCCTCATTGTATGTCAACAAAGGAGGTAGATGGAGGCAGGCCAGTGCCGGCGGACCCACATAGCACTGGAATTAAGGTAAATTTATTCATTATTTAAGGGGGTAAGGGGAGTGCCAGGGACCCTACATGTGTTTTTAACATTATAGTATCACGAATACATGCTTTAAATTGTAACATATCCTTAAACAAATAATATATAATTTATCATAGACATCATGTCTAAATCAGTAGTCCTTACTTCCAACCATCCATCCATCTAATCTACCTGTCGGTCAGCATTAAATAGGTATGGGATCCAGCCTTTTGTATATGTTACATACAATACCTTTTTGGTACATTAGGATTTTATTTTTTGATGTTAGAACAATTGAACTTCTGTCCTATATTTAAATATGAATTTACTATTTTTTTTCCAGGGTCTTCCTTATTATCTTGTTAATTGTCTTGTTGCGTTTTATGGTTGGCTGCTGTCTGCAGTGCTGGATAAAGAGACAAACGAGGTTTATATCTAGGCGTATGGTCACAGTGGTGACATTAAGCAGCCCAGAATCTGTACATGGTAAATATCTGTAACATGATTCATTGCAGATTTTAAAAAAAAACTTTTTTCCTATTCTGTTACCATAGAGATACTCTAAGTGTATAGAACTGTTTAACAAGAAGAAAGGGGATGGAGACACACAGACTTAAATATGAGACTATGTTAGAGACACTTGGGACAAGGCAAAAGGATTCACAGAAAAGACACATGTGGAAAGGGATGGAAGGAATTAAGGTGGGCAATATTAGAGGCAAGGGCACAAGATAATGTCACAGTAGGAAAGGAGTTCTACAAAGGCTTTGATAAGGCTTTGATAAATAATCCAGCATACATCAGAGAGATGGATATTACATTCACAGGGTAATAAAAACCCACAAATCTGAAAGATCCCACAAGAGGGCAGCATTGGCAGGGAAACCCCCAGAAGGGATTAGATTGTATAAGGAAAATCCACAAAAGTGTAGACAGAGCAAACGCATTTGACAACCATTAACTGAAAGGAAATGGCACACAGGAAAGAGATCAAATGAGATAACCGAGGGTTTTTGGAAATATCACAAAGAAATATATGAGTAAAGAACACCTTAAAGGGAATAGACAAACCAAAACATATAAGAGAAGGCAAGGAGTGCGACAAGATAAGGTAGGGTATCGCACATCCGGGAGGTATTGGGCTTACAGGAGAACGGAGAAAACAGGGGTGAAAATATAAACAGAATGCAAGCAAATGTGACACATGAAAGGAAAAGAAAATGGGTCGCATGGTAAAAATAAAAATGGCCAGGTTTATGTTTTTTTTATTTTGCTCTATTTTTACATTTTGATTATTTTATGTTTATTTGAGTTAACAGTGCATATACATTTTTATGCAATACTACAAGGTATACTTAACCCTTGGCAGTGCACATACTGAGTGTAAAGGTGCACAGTTCGTACATAGAATGGAGTAGGAGATCCCTATTCCACAGATTTAACAAGCAAAATAACCAACGCAGTGCCCTTGCAATACTTAAAGCGAATCCACCTGCTCTATTATTTTAATTTATATCAATTACTCAGTAACTATAAGGCAGACTTGTATTGATATGATAATAATTTGCAGATATAAGCAAGGAATAGGAAGTCATACTACCAACCTTAGAGTAAATGGAGAGAAAGTCCCCTCAAAAGGAGGCGATTAAGTATCATCAATAGATACATGTTGGATCAATCTGTTTTAGATAGAGAGTTCCAAACTGGAATTCTTCCAGATCTATTCATAAGCTAGATAAATTACAGATGGAAGTTAATGCTAATTGCCCCAAAATCTGATGAATAATGATTGCTAGACACTGCTAGAACATTTAACATTGGCCTACATCCTTTCTATTTGGCCTACAGTAGGTTTGGAGATTTGCTTCCTCACGTTACTCCGTAGTAACATAACTCCATAATATTACCTCGTGTTAGTCTACAGAAACAATCCTTTAATATATCATATTTTTTTCCAGCAGATAAATATCTAGGAAAAGCAAAAATAATTAATAAATAAATATCTAACAGAAACAGACGAAATGTGAGTTAAACCCCTGCAGTTAGAAAAAAGTGCTACGAACATATCATGCTCTGTTTCTTTAGAGCCCAGTTATCATGCAGAGAGTCTTTTTGTTGTTGACACTTTTATAATTGGGCTCTGTAGAATAACATAGGAGTAGAAGAACATTTTCTGACTGTAGAGTTTACTCAAAGTTTCATAAAATGATGTACGTGAATCTTTTCTTAAAAGAAAATAATGGGAAATTGTATTTTCACTGCAAAGCATGTTACTCACTTGATAGCGAGATACATTATTACTTTTTTTTTAAATAAGTTTTGGTGATGGATTACCTTTTAGATTCACATTTCAAGACAAAATTAGAGTTTTGTGCACTATTTTTGCTGTAGTTTGTGCTCACATTCATTTTTTGATTAGACACAGTATTCATAACTGGAAATGAAGTAATGCCATTTTTTCCCCCAGTTGCTGAATCGTCCCAGTGTCACAGGCCCCATCTATGGGTTCCACATCAGAACATCATGACCTCAACTTCTGGTATTTCCTTAAGAGGACTGGAATCAGGGGCTCCACCTTCCTATGAAGAACTGTTCAACATCAGTACAAGCAAATTCTAACTCATTTTGTGAAGATCATACTTTTAGGCTAATTACCTGGTTTTATCTTGAAAGCCAATATGCACAATGAGAGAACATATGTCCTCTCTACTGGAATAAATTCATTAATTCACAAAACATTTTAAATGAATTTGTGGTGAGCTAAATTTTGTGAAGGATGATTGATTCAACATGAGATAATTAGAGCCTCTCTTCATCAAGTGTAATTGACAATGTAGATTTAGTTTTGATTAGATTTTCGATATAATTAAGTGAACAATTTAAAAGAGAATGCTGTCCTTAGTCATCTTTCAAACAAAACCCCATAAGTCAAGTTTGACGATACCCCTACTTAATCACACTTTTGTCTTTGAGAATGACTGAAACTATAATTAAAACCACAATTTAAAGAAAAGAGATGTGCAGAGGATTGAAAACATATTACTGATGCAAGAACCAATATATATATATATACATCCAATTACAAAATCACAATGCATAGCAGCAAAACATCTTAGTGCTTCATAATGAAGCAATGAAGCCTTTCAAGTAAGGTATCCTTATATATATTACTATTTTACATTCTAGGTGTAAATCTTTATATTACATTCTGAGTATCAAGTGCCCTCAACAGAATTGTAGAGGCTATCTTTATTCAACTGAACCTGTTATCAGTTGCAATGCTAAAACTTCAATTCTCTACATCACTCAGTTATAGAAAAAAAAGCACAAGTGAATATAGAATATTTATAATCTCCAGACATATCTGTGCCTACTGTTTATATTTGCTGTCACTTTGTCTTTTGTAGGGGAAATGGGGATTTGTATTTGTAGCTATCACCTGGTTATACAGCAACGTTTATTTATGTTTGCTATCTTCGGTACATTTGTACATATGATACAAAGGTATATTTTAAATAATTTCACATTATTCTGACAAAGTTAAATATTATTGCGTGGGTTACACAGTAGAAGTAAAGGGTGTTGATTACTGAAGAGACACAATTAGACTTTTCATTCAGAACTCATGCATTTGGTACTATTTTGCTGCTAATCTGCCAATAATGAGATAAAATATGAATAACTGCTTATGTGATTTTGTAAACCAGCAAAAATAAAAGATAAAGAAAGAAAAGGGACAGGGGGAAACTACTTCTCCACTTCCATTTAAGAAAGGCAAAACGTGGTAAAATCAGGATATTTATTAATATCTGGCTTCTCTGACTTGACATATCCCATTAGCAGTCACATGACAGCTGATGGGAAAATGTATTGTCTCAGGTAATACACAATAGATGTCTGTGTTATCTGTTTTTGTATGCACAAGAATATGGTTTGAAAATAATAAGTACTAATGGTGTCTTCTACAGACTTTCTTTTAAACACATACATCACCAAACACGAAAATTTTTATTTTTGTGGCTTGTTATCTACAAATAGAAACGTTGTGGTAGGTGTAGCTCAAGCTGTGATTTCAATATGTTATCCAGATATTTATAAATAATAAAATGGATGCTGATGGCAGATACAGTACAGTTGGTCCATTTACTCTTCTATATCATATTTGCGTACAATAGATCAATTAAATGTATCATTAAGTAGAGCCTGTTCCACCCAGTAATTCTTCACTAGTTAATTGTCACTTTTTCTGAAAGATTCCATCAAGTCTTTACCATCATTAATGCAGTGAATGAGCAGGCTCGTGTTGTTTGATCTGTAGAAAGTGTGATGGTTCTGTTCAGATCTGGACTGCACTGCAATGGCATTACTGGGAACTAGATTGGCTGAATATCACGTCAATTGTATTTCACAGATTTTACATTGCAGGACACGCTATTTTTATGGACAATGACAGCTTCCAATTATCGATATTTGTTTGGATACATCCTTTAAAGTAGGACAAACTATGGTATAAACCTACAGGTTTACTACTGTATATTTTATTTGTGACTTAAATTAAATTATTATTGTATTTCCTTATGGTACAGGCACATCATTTAAATGGTAAGCACCTGGGGACAAATAATAAAGAAAACTTTAGAAATTACTTTTGGTTCAGAAGCTTGGCAAATACTAAAGATGTAGATGTTATTATATATATATATATATATATATATATATATATATATATATATATATATATATATATATATATATATATATTTATAATCAAAAGTTAAAAGGGACAAAATAGTCACCAAAACAAGTTTAGCTCAATGAAGCAGTTTTTGTGTATAGATCATGTCCCTGCAGTCTCACTGCTCAGTTCACTGCCATTTTGGAGTTAATTCACTTTTGTTTCTCTCCATGCAGCCCTCGCCACACCTCTCCTGATTGTGACTGACACAGCTTGCATTAAAAAAAATGTTTCATTTGATCAGATGTTAACTTACTTTAAACATTCTTATCTCCTGCTCTGTAAATTGAACTTAAACAGGAGATTCCGTCATAGTTTAGAACAGGGGTGCCCAAATGGTAGATCCAAAGAAGTATTAAAATTTCAGCTTCCATGATGCTTTCTCATTCTAAAGGCATGCAAAGGCATGCAAAGCATCATGGGAGTTGCAGTTCTAGAATATCTGGTGATCTACCCTTTGGGCTCTCCTGGTCTAGAAGGATAAGAAATGATATATTGAGCAGACTGTGTTATACATGACGTTTAAACATTAGATCTCTCTTTACAGGAAGTGTTTAGGAAGACTGTGGAAGTCACATATAGGGAGGTGTGACTAGGGCTGTATAAACAAAGATTTAACTCCTAAACGGCAGAGAATTAAGCAGTGAGACTGCAGGGTCATGCTCTATACACCCAAACTGCTTCATTAAGCTAAAGAGGTTTTGGTGCCTAAAGTGTCCCTTTAAAGTAGTTTGTAACAATTTTAATTGGAATGGCACATTTTTCTTGTATTAGTGGGATGTACAGAATTTGGCAAAGACTTACAACATGCCAGTTCTCTGTTTAGAGGCAAAGGAAATGGTGTACCGTACTTGTGTGCCAAATACAAAAAGACATTTGTTTTGCTGCACTGCATCATTTTGCAATTTGCCACTTGCCAATGTAGACACACATGATCATTCACTGAAAGTGTATTGATGCAATGCTGTGAATACAAGATTGTCTTCAGTAACTATAATAATAAATGTCAGAGTCAAATTCTTGCATACAAATTAAGGAAGCTAAGCTATTAATATTGATTAAAACAAAAGATGTGGTAGTGTTTAAATTGCACCAGGCGACAGAACCAAATGTGTGCAAGTAATGAAGCAATAACACATTTTATAAACTGCTCCTTGAGGAACACGAACACAGACATTGAATGGCATGGAACCTTTATCATCCTTCCAATAGGTTTAGATGATGATGTGCACGCTCACTTAAAATGTTTGCACATTGCTTACAAGGATTTCTTATTTCCACTGGTTATATGGTGATCAGAAATTACCTGAAATTATTTAAATTTGTCATAAACATGAATTGTTACTTGCTGTTATTTGTTAATAATTAATTTCCCTGTTTTGATTGCTATCTTATCTCCCTAATGAGTGATATAAGCATTCTGGCACATAGATGTCAAACATTTATCCTGTAATACTATCTTCATTAATAAAAAAATTTGACTGGGGAAAAAACAAAACCTTTTACTTGATGTAGGGGATTGGTGGACAATCAGCAAAGTTTGGCATCATCTCCACTTGAGGGGTGTTTATGTCTTGAGTTAGATTTTAGTGATTCTATCCAGAGACCGACTTGATGTCTCTCAAGAGAACATTTTTCGAACATAAATAACCCAGGTTTGCCTAAGATATTTTGGTCCCCATGCATGCATGTGAAATCCTACCGAACACACCCGAACGTCTCACACATAACACAAACACACACACAGCCCCCTCCCTACAGACTATGGATCTTTTCCCAGGACACTCTGTGTTGGATCGGAGCATGGCCACGACCTGATGGAACATTAAAGTACTGTCACTTGAACTGGATATCCCCGCTCCAGAGCTTTTTGGATGGTGGGTAGTTTGGGGAGACAAGCCACACAGGGATTTATGGTTTGTGGATATTCTCTGTTGGGAAAGGGAGTTTTGGGACTCAGATTCCCTGGTGCATTATCTGGAGAGGACACAGCAGAGAAAAGCTCTAGAAGCTCTAGATTGATCATATTAACTGATCTCATTAACTATCATCCCAGACAGATTGTCCCCTGTTATAGTTTTATGGATTATGTTACATTTAATCATGTTGGATTATGTTTGTTTTAATTCCATGGAAAATCCCCTAGAGCGGGAATCCATATTTGAACTGTATATATAGAGTGCTGTATTTTCATTTTACCCCCTAAAAGTCTTGTCTAATGTGTGGGGGGAAAGGACTAATATCACTACTGCTATACAGGTGAGAAGTTATCCAAGAAAAGAATAGTGCTGCCTGCGTCCTATGGATCCACTTGGACCACTTACATGAATAGTAATAAAGCACTCATCATGGACTACATTAATAAAATAGATAGCAGATGTAATATTTAGAATTCACACATATTTGTCTGCTTAAAAGAAGCAGGCATTTCATTTTGGAATCAGAGTCGAATCTCTAGATCAGTAAAAACTGTCCTTTAGCACTCCAATGGTGGCAGATATAATTTCCCATTTTACACCAGCCATTGGTGTTAAATAGAACCATCACTTTTTAAAAGCTGTGGGTGCCTGCTGGTGTCTATTTTTCTTGTCTGCATTAGGAATATGTCAGTTTCCCACATTGCAGAACACTTGTGTGGGTTTTAGTGATTACCTGAGTATTGAGGTCGAATCAAATCTTTATTTCTATTTTTCCTGGTTATCTCCATCCTAAAGTTAGTGTGCTATAGATATGTGCATTTGGAAGGGTTCATTCAGACCACAGCAAATTAAACAAAGCCCAAATCTGTTTGTTGGATTAAATTCTGTCCTTACAATTTGTTCATTACCTAATTTAAAGGAAAACTATAGTGCTAGGAATGCAAAGTTGTATTCTTAACACTATAGCAACCTTTATTGCCCCTACCACCCCTTGCACCTTCCCCATTTTTTTGGCAACATGCACAACAATCTGAATCACAAAACAAATAAAATGGTTTGAAGAAGAATGGGCCAAAATTCCTCCACAAAGATGTGAGAGAAAACGATTACTTATTGCTGCTAAAGGTGATTCTATAAGCTAAGATGTACTTAGTTTTTCACACATGGCTTCTCCATTGTGGCTTTATTTTTGTCTTCCTCGATCGGGATCGATGTGGTAAGTAAGTATATTGGGGGAGTGGAAATCCACGGGCCGTGCAATGCCGCCCTGCAGCATTAAATCCCATATTTTGCAGGATGGTGTAGGATGTCCACTCTCCATGAGGGATTAAGTTCCTCCAGGTCAGTGTCAGGATTACTAGTTGATCCAGCACGTAGAACTGTATCACACCTAGGACTAAAAGGTAATGCCTTACCGGGCCTTAGAATAGCCGGACTTAACATACCAGAGAATAGTCAGAATACTTGCAAGGTCAGGGATACAGAAAGAGACACAACGATGAGGGAAAGCCAAAAGTCAGGGATACCGGAATGCAGGGAAGTCAAACGAAGCCAAAGTCAATAACCAGAATAACAAATGCTCATGAATACACTCTCGGACAACCACTAGAGAGATCACGACAGGGCAATAAGAAGAAGGAATAGGTAACCTTAAATACCCCTCTTGCGGATCCGATTGGCCAAAACCGGCCTTTGACCCCAAAACATGCGTGTGTGTCCTTTATTTTTATTTTTTTTAAATCTTTATTTTACTGCGCGTAAAGTATTACATGACATAGGTGTTATATGCCACCCCGGTATAACAATTAATAATTCCAGATATGCAGGCAACATAGTCTGCGCATTTTTACTGTTTTCATAGTTGTACAATAAAGTAAGGTAACAATATTTAGTTCGAGAGAATCTAGTCATTGAACAGAACAGCTGTTTGGTCCGGTGGCATCGATTCAATTTTTAGCATGATATACATGGTAATGTAAAGTAGGAATGAAAGGGGGGGATGGGGATGGTGTAAGTATTGGGATGGTCATGTATGGATAGTATTTAGATGACTCTATTACCCAGATAGGTCAACCAAGGCTACCATGTTAGGGTGTAGATGGTGTATTTATTCGAGTATGATGCGTCTATTTCTTCCATGGTCCTTATGAATTCTACCTTCTGTATCCACTCCCATATTGATGGGGCATTGGCGCTCTTCCATTTTAACGGTATCAACATGTTTGCTGCTGCCAGCAGATGGTTGACGAGTTTGCGTTGAAGGCTTGGCATGCGGGTTGTGTGTATGAGGAAGAGGAAAGTTTCAGGGGATTGTGGTAGCTGATGGCCTGTGATGGCTTTTATTAACCCTCCCAGTCTCTGCCAATATGTTTGGATGATTGGGCATAGCCACCAGATGTGAGCTGTGGTTCCTTTGGGTTGCCCGCACCTCCAACATATATCTGGCACTGTTGGAAAGATAGCATGAATCTTAGTGGGTGAGTAGTGCCATCTGGAGATTCTTTTGTATGTGCTTTCCCGTACTGCGGTGCTGACGGATGTGGCATGTGCGTATGTGAATATTTTATACCACGTTCCCTCGGGAATGGTGATACAGCTCAGTTTCCCATGCCGCTGTGAATGTGGGTGGAAGGGTGTGACTTGCGGTGTTTAGTAGTTTGTAGAATATAGATAGGTGCTTGGTTTGTTGGCTGTGGGTGGTGCAGTAGGTTTCATATTTGGTGTGTGCTCTTGTTCCCCAGAGAAGGTGCGGGTCCCCCTTCAGGAAGTGGGCCAGCTGAGCATATTGGAAATATTGTTTGGTAGTTGGGGGGTCTGTGAAGGCTAGGATAGACAGTGGAGCTAATCCTGTTGGTGTTACAGCCGTGCTAACCATCGGGTATCTTGTCTTTTGAGTTGGTGGGAAGTGATGAAAGAACTGGGGGCATATGCCTGGTAAGAATTTTGGGTTGTGTGCCAAAGGTATAGGGGTGAGGGGTGTGGTGAGACGTCGTTCTGGGATCTAATGCGTGACCACTGATGTAGTGTGGGTATGATCGTTGGGTGGTGTGAGTGTTGAGGCAGGAGGAGTGTACGGCCCTCGTCATGCCATGGGATTGTGTATAATGGGGCTTGGAACATGGAGCCTTCTATGTGCACCCATTGTTTGAGTGGGTGTACTTCAGTCCACTCATATATTCTAGTCAGTATGACAGCGTGGTAGTAACGTTCCATGTGGGGTAATCCTAGCCCTCCCTGTCCTCTATGTCTAGTCAGAACTGAGTAGGCTATTCTCGGACGCTTATTTGCCCAAATGAAGGTCGTGAAAATTTGTTTGAGTTTGGCAAAGAAGGAAGGGGGAATTGTGATGGGAAGTGTTTGTAGGAGGTATAATACTTTAGGTAACGTATTCATCTTCAATATGTTGATCCTACATAGCCAGCTGAAGACCGGCCTCTGCCAGTCCCCTATATCTTTCGATATCGCTGTGAGTAGTGGTATAAAATTCAAGCCATATGTGTGCTTTAGGTGTCTAGGTAGGTGGACCCCCAAATAGGTAATGGACTTCTTAGCCCACGTGAAGGAATACATGGCTTTAACCCCTTAAGGACACATGACATGTGTGACATGTCATGATTCCATTTTATTCCTGAAGTTCGGTCCTTAAGGGGTTTAAGCTTAGTCTGTGTGCTTCTGTCCAGTCGGAGGGGTAAGATTTCGCTCTTTGTGTAGCTGACCTTAAAGTTGGATAGTTCGGCATACGCCCTCAATTCGGCAATTAAAGGTGGCAGGGATGTGAGTGGGTTAATGATGGAGAATAATACATCGTCTGCAAATGCGGAGACCTTAAACTCCTGTGGGTGGACAGTGAATCCATGAATGGCATTGTGGTCTCGTATTCCCTGCAGGAAGGGTTCTAGAGATAGGATAAAGAGTAAGGGGGAGAGAAGGCACCCCTGTCTCGTGCCGTTTCTAATGTGTACTGGGCTTGATAGTTGGCCGTTTATTCTCAATTTCGCCGTTGGAGTAGAGTATATGGCTCCCATCCATTTCATCCACTTTGAGCCAAAACCCATGGCTTGGAGTGTGGCTGTCAGCATTTTCCAGTCTACTCTATCAAACGCTTTTTCTGCGTCTATGGATAGAAGTAGGCTCTGTTCTTGAGTCATGTGAGAGAGGTGTATGAGATTTAACAATTTTGTTGTGTTATGTTTGGCTTCGCGTTTAGGGACAAAACCAGATTGATCT